TGCCTTCACCTCAGGTCATGATCCCAGGATCCTGGGATCAAGCCCCACATCGGGCTCCTTGCTTGGTGGGAAGCCTGCTTCTTCCTCTCCCACTCCCCCTGCCTGTGTTCCCTCTCTCTCTCTCAAATAAGTAAATGAAAACCTATTGTGTGTGTGTGTATATATATATGTGTGTGTATATATATATATATATATACACACACACACACGTAGAATTATGGGGCACCTGGGTGGCTCAGTGGGTTAAAGCCTCTGCCTTCGGCTCGGGTCATGGTCCCAGGGTCCTGGGATCAAGCCCCACATCGGGCTCTCTGCTCAGCAGGGAGCCTGCTTCCTCCTTTCTCTGCCTGCTTGTGATCTCTGTCAAATAAATAAATAAAATCTTTAAAAATAAAATACACATAGAATTAAAATTAATGACAAATATCCGGAAGAACAAAAGTAGAAAAGATAATGAAGGAATGAATAGAGTTAAACTGTTTAGAGTACATTCCATTCTCTGTGCAGTTGTCAAAGTCCTGGTCTGTATTATTAGGTCTTAAAGAAGAGTGGGGCGCCTGGGTGGCTCAGTGGGTTAAGCCTCTGCCTTTGGCTCAAGCCCGATCAAGCCCCACATTGGGCGCTCTGCTCAGTGGGGAGCCTGCTTCCTCCTCTCTCTCTCTGCCTGCCTCTCTGCCTACTTGAGATCTCAGTCTGTCAAATAAATAAATAAAATCTTAAAAAAAAAAAAAAGTAAAAATGACTAAGAAGCTGATTGGGGGGGGTGGGGGTGGAAGGACAAAGGACTAATCTAAGAAAAGACCAGAGCAGAGAATAACATAAAAAATATGGAAGAAATACAGCATCCTAACATGTTAAGATTTAAACCAATTATATGACCAGTTGCTTTAAATAAAAATGGACAAAATACTGTCATTAGAGACAACTACTACATGAAAAACCAAAAACAACGGCAATATGCTACTTAAAAGGGATGTGGCTTAAATATCAAGACATAGAATGGATAAATTTGAAAAAGGAAAAGTATTTTACACATTAATACTAATCACGAGAAAGCCAGTCTAGCACTACTTTTGTCAGGCAAAGACTTCAGAGCAAGAGAGATTATTATAGGTAGTGTTCCTCATCATCAAAGGGTCAGTTCACCTGGAAGACGACAACAGTTCCACCTGTGTATGCACCTGGCAACAGCCACAAATGTATACAAAGTAAAAAATCAAGAGAACTCCCCCTTTGGGAGCTTTCCACTATTGCTCAATAAACTTTACTATTAAAAAAAAAAACATAAAAGGAGAAATAGACAAATTCATAAAAAATGGTACATTTTAGTGTAACTCTCCTGGGACGTGATAGAGCAAACAAAATCAGTAACGATTTAGAAGATTTAATCAGTACAACTGTTGGTGTATATATAGAATTATTTCATGAGAGAAGTCTAAAATACACATATTCTAGTGCCCATGGGACATTTAGCCACATTGCTCACATGCAAGATCACACTATTCTCAACAAATTTCATATGGTTGTAATTGAGAGTATTTTCCGTCCACAGTGAGATTAAGCTAAAAATTAACAAAAAGTTAATATCCCCAAATGATTGAAAATTAAGTAATATACTTCTAATTACCTATAGCTAAACTGAAAACCACAAGTGACATTAGAAAACATTTTGAACCAAAAAATAACAGCATATCAAGACAGGACATTAATGCAAGCTGTGCTTAGTGGGAAATTTTTATAACTTTGAGTACACTTAAAAAATAAGAGCAAAAAATTTATTTTCTAAATACCCCTTTCAGGTGGTCAGTAAGAGCAAGAAATTAAGGCAGCTAGAAGAAAGGGATGAATAAAAATTGATGAAATAGGGTGAAAATATACAACAAAATTAAAAAAATGAAAACTTCTTTCTTAAAAAGACCTCCTTCGTGGCAGACTGTTGAAGGACAAAAAGAGTATGCACTAAGTTCCAGCATCAACAATAGAAAAGAGGGACACAAGGCTATTGATCCCATAGTCACTAAAAGAAGTAAGAGAATGGTAATACAATTTTTCTGTAAACTTTGAGAAACAGAACTTACAAAGCTGACACAAGAAGAAACAAAATATTAATTGGATAGCTATTAAGGAAATTGAATCTGTAATGAAAAACTTTCACATAAAGGCTCTAGACCTAGATGGCTTCACATTTGAATTTTAGTAAAAACATTAGAAATACCACTAAATCATAGACAAACTGTTTCAGAAAGTAGGAAGTCCGAACACTCCTTTTTTAAAATGAGACTAGCATACTCTTGATCCCCAAATCAACAAGAACATTTAAGAACAAAATAAATGGGACCGTTTCAAGAACACTGATAAACCACTTATAACAATCACAACAGTTTATTAAATAAAGCAAACATGGGGGCGCCTGGGTGGCTCAGTGGGTTAAGCCTCTGCCTTCGGCTCCAGTCATGATCTCAGGGTCCTGGGATTGAGCCCCGCATCAGGCTCTCTGCTCGGCAAGGAGCCTACTTCCTCCTCTCTCTCTCTGCCTACCCCTCTGCCTACTTGTGATTTCTGTCTGTCAAATAAATAAAATCTTTAAAAATAAAAAAATATTAAAAGCAAACATGGTAGTTTACTACCTTAAAAAAATACGAGGGAGAAAAAGTCAGAAGGGTCTATTAGATGGAAAGGTGAAAATAAAACTGTTATTTGTAGATGACACTTACACTTAGAAAACCAGAAAGTATCTACAGATGACCAAGTAGAATTAGTGAGTTTAGCAAGTTTGCTGGAAACCAATTCAGTATATAAATGTCAATGTTAATTCTCTATACTAGAGCCAATTAGAAAAGGAGACTTTAAAATCTCTGCCATTTACATCCAGAAAGAAGAAACACCAAGCAGCATATTCTAAGAAAGTTGTTACCCTTACTATATAGAAAAGTATAAAATACTCAGTGAAATTAAAGAAGACCTAAATAATTGAAGAAGTAAATGTTGTTCACTGACTTAAGAATCAATATTGTGAAGATAATAGTTTGGCCATGGTGGTCTGAAGATTAAGCATAATCATAATCAAATCCCAGGAGCCTTTTTTTTTTCAGCCATCGAAACGGAGATTGATATAAAAATGTGGAAGACTTAGACTGTCCCTTATCAAGATTTATTATTTTAAAAGTTATAGTATTAAGGCTGTATGATTTAATGCAAGGGTAAGAGAAATAGATCAGGTTAGAGAGCCCATTAACAAATCCATACATATATGGACAGAAGTGGTGTGTGAGTGCGGTTACTGCCAAGCAGGAGGGAGGATATTTTTTTAGTAGATGTTGCCATGTCAGTTGGAGTTCTTTGGCGGGGGGTAGGGTGGGGAGAAACTTGATCTCAAACATACTCAAAACCCAGTGCGTATGAATTTTTGATCTAAATGAAGCTTCAAGATGCTACAAAACAGCATCTTCATACAAAAGTGTCTTTAAGACTAAGGCAGGCAAAAACTTCCTTAAATTGGACATAGAAGGCACTAGCTAGAATAGAATAGATGAATTTGGACTATGTTAACATTAAGTCAGAAACACCATTACAGGAATGAAAAATGCAAGACAAAACTAGTGGAAAATATTTGCAATTTAAATAACCAACAAAAGACTTACCCCTGTATATATGTATAAGGTACATAAGGAAAAATGCATAACCAAGTAGACGTAAGTGCCAGATGGTAACAGGAACTTTACAAAAGAAGAACACCATTAAAATACTCAACCATGTTCAACCTTATTAGTCTTGGAAAACAATGGAAAATTTACAGCGAGATGCCACTACATAAACCTATCAGAATGGTTTAAATGAAAAAAAGAATCACATTACGCTAAGAATATGGAGCACTGGAGTGCTCACAGGAAAGTATAAATTAGTACTGCTACTTTGAAAACTGTTGGACAATACTTATTAATAGGGAAATTCTCCTACCCGGTGGCCCTTCCGTTTAAGTCCTAGGTATCTACCCAGTAGAAAGGCATACCAACATCGGCCTGTAGACATGTACAATAGTATTTACATCAGTGTTTGAGAACGAAACTACAGACCAACCCACATGTCCCTTAGCAGCGGAATGAACAGCTTGTATATTCCTCTAACGTGATACCGTGTGGCTGTGGCAATCCTCAAACGAAACGTCCCTACAGCAATCTGTGCAAAGAACTCTGAGCTAACTGTTTGATGGTGGGGGTTTGCAGCCCCGCCTGCGGTACCAGACCCGTCCGTTCCTGAGACGGGTTGATTTGGTCATGGGCCAGCCATTCTGGGGAAGCTCGCCCATTTTATTCCGGGACATTTTGTCCTGTGTGCAGAGATTCTTGTGTGAACTTAGAGAAGAGAGGGAGGGGCAAGGCATACTCTGACATACTCTGAGGCTGATGTGAACTTAGTGACCAGGGCAGAGACCATTCATCTGGGTTTTCATGGTGTATCTTTGTGTGATTTACCGTTTCTTCGATGCTTTTACCACCGGTCCCTTGGCAACTCACTGTGTTGCCAGAAGACTCTTCCCTCCTTCATCTTGGGTTCTCCTGGGGTCTTTCGCTAACCTCAGTACTGACCAGGCCTTGAATGACTGTGGCTGACCGCAAGAGGAAGGGACTTTTTTTTTTTTTTTTCAAAGATTTTATGTATTTATTTGATACAGAGAGAGAGATCACAAGTAGGCAGAGAGGCAGGCAGAGAGACGGGGAAGCAGGCTCCTCGCTGAGCAGAGAGCCCAATGTGGGACTCGATCCCAGGACCCTGAGATCATGACCTGAGCCGAAGGCAGAGGCTTAACCCACTGAGCCACCCAGGCTCCCGAAGAGGGGACTTCTGAAGAGAACCTGGCCCTTTCTAGACCGTGTGACTCGGAATGAGCCCACATGGCTGTATCGTGGGTCCTGTCTGATAGGAACATGATCACAAGCCAGAGTCCTATGAAATATATTTACTCCTCACATTCGAGTTCTGGCTTGTTTCTTTCTTTCCAGCGGGAGCAAGAAAGTCAAATGGCTCATCTGAAAAAACAGCAAGAAGAGCTGGAACAGATGCGACTACGCTACCTGGCTGCTGAGGAAAAAGATACGGTGAAGGCCGAGAGACAGGAATTACTGGATATCAGAAATGAATTAAACAGGTACAATAACCAAAAAATTCCTTTTTTTTTAAATTTTTTTCCCATACAGAAATGGGAGCTCCAGTAGGAAAACCTCTTCATTAGCCATGGGGCCAGGGCTGTCCGAAATAAAGGACTTCCCGTGTCAGATGTAGTACGTGGGCTGCCACAACCAGAAGTCTACCCGAAAGAACGTTCTGCTCACGTTTATTGCCATGAATGTAGCTGTATTTAGCTGGTTCGTTCCTACTCATGTCCTTAGTACTTTAAATTTTATTTTTGTGTGACTCATGTAGGATTGTTGTTACTACTTCAAGGTAATTGATTATACTGAATTTTTAATAACAATAGACACTTCAAATCTAGTTATATTATTATAATAAATAATAAAATAGCTCTTACTTATTAAGCCCTTACTGTATGCCAGGAGCTATGCTAAGTGCTTTCTTTGCTCATTTTTTTTTTCTCTTAAAAACAACTTTTTGAGGAAGATATCCCCATTTAGAGATGAGGAACCTGCTGATTAGAAATTTAAGTACCCTTTCCAAGTGGTTCTATGGCTATGTATATTTTTTAAGACTTCATTTATTTATTAGAGAGAGAGGGAGAGCCAGCATGCTCACAAGTGGGGGAAGAGCAGAGGAAACAGCCTCAAGCTGACTCCCCGCAGAGTACAGAGCCCAAGGCAGGGCTGGACCCCAGGAATGTGATGGTGACCTGAGCTGAAACCAAGAGTCCAATGCTTAACTGACTACACCAGCCCCAGGCGGCCCTGGGGCTGTATTTTTAATTATCGTTCAACACCAAGCTTCTCTGTAATGTCATGTTCATCTTAGTGACAGTTTTCAGCAGCACCTCATGTTAGAAAAGCCATCGTTAGAAAACAACATAAGAACAAATTCTTTTTGGAGAGGTTTTGGGGGAAGGCTTTTTAACTTAGTTTGTGAAGACACTAGTATTTTTGTTCCAGCAAAGCCTACGTTCTTAACTGGGACTGCCTTCACCGTAGATTGGGTGGCTTCAGCAACAAATTCATTTCCTCACAGTTCTAGCGGCTGCAAGTTCAAGATCAAGTACCAGTATGGTTACTGTTAGTTATGGTTAGTATGGTTAGTTTCTGTGAGGACCCACTGGCTTATTCACAGCTGCCTCACACTGTGGGAGAGGGAGCAATTTCCCTTGTATCTCTTCTCATAAGAGCTTCTAATAAGGTCCCCGCCTTAGGAACTCATCCAAATCGTGCCACCTCCCAAAGACCCTTTCTCCTGATAGCATCACATTAGGGTTAGAGCTTCAGCCTCTTACTTTTGGGGACACAGAATTCAGTTCAGAGCACATACGTTTGACACCTGCAGTCACTATCAGGTCATTTCAGAGCTGAAGTAAACAACCGCATTTACAATACTACTGTATACGTGTCATTTGGAAAAGGTCAAGTACCATGCGACAGGGGTCAGTTTTGACTCTTCCTTTTTATACAGCAGATAATTAGTATGCAATGTGTTACGGACATGGAGGATGTTATAAATGACCCTTGCTTTCTAAAATGTTGCAGTCATGTACTTTTTGTTTGTTTGTTTGTTTTAGTTCATTTTAGCATATAGGTATTAAGCCTCTGCTGTTCACTAAGCACTGTTTTGGTGGCTGAGATACCAGTAAGCCATCTGGCTATCAAATTTGCAGATCAAGCGCATTTGAATCTTGAGAACTTAAGCCACTAAGTACATTAGAAATAAAAGCAGAGTCTTCTGTATAAATTACAAGGCAGACCTCCTTAAGTGATGGGAAAGGCAGGAGCAGACCATTGATGTGAGGAGGCCTGGGCAGACGCCTGGGGCCACAACCAATGGTGTGACACGACTGTCACAGCACCATCTTTATAAAGATAAAATTCAGTAGTTGCAAATTAAAACATTTTTATAGCCACTTGCATAAGGGTATGAAGTTATCTCTTAATTGTACATTCTCAATTAAAAACCTACTCCACTGTCCAAAGCTGGTATTACTCTCACTTAGGAAAGTATACTAAGTATACTTAACATTCACAAGGTCACGCGATTAACAGTATTCCACTGGAAACACCCAAGTCCCAGTCTGGTACCTGCTGTCCCTTCTCTGACCTCTAGATGAGGCATCACAAACATATAAGATCTTCAAGGGTACATGCTGTCTAAACCAGGCATTCACATCGAAACACTATCCCCAACACCTAGCACTGTGGGGTACACAGAAGTATTGGTTGAATGACTTGGGAAAATTTTGTTCCAAACAACCAAAAGGATTTACCAATGACTTAAAGACCAGCAATAAAGGGTGATTAAATAAGAGTACATCCAAGTGAGGGGATGTTGTGAAGCCCTTTAGAAGACACTAAAAGGTGCAGGAAAACATTTTATCAGTAAGTGGAAAAAAGTAGTATACAGCCTTGCCTATATCCTATCATCGTAAGACGTACGCATTTTTAATTGAAAATACAGAAAATTATTACTTAGATTGGTTATCTTTAGATAAGATCATCACAATTTCCTTTCCTTTTTCTAGAATTTCACATTTCTAGAACTGCTACAGTTCTTACATATTTTATAATTAGAAAAACAAGTATTGTTTTCAAAACTGTCTTTTATGAGCATGTTCACTCTGGCTAGCCAAGTGGAATACTGGTTTTTGTTATCTCCCTGAAAATAATGCTACGGGCATAATTTCCCATTAAATCATTTTTTGAAATGGTGTTTTGTTAACTAAAAAAAAAAAAAAAAAAAAAAAATCAAAACCCAAAACAGCATTTATTGCCTGCTTAGAGTGGCATCTGTTCTTGACTTCTCAGGTTAAGGCAACAAGAACAGAAACAGTACCAGGATTCCAGAGAGATTGCGAGCGGAAAACTGGACAGCCCGCATGGCAATGCCCTGGAAGAGGGTTTGGATGATTATTTGACTCGACTCATAGAAGAAAGGGATACTTTGATGAGGACGGGTGTGTATAATCACGAGGATCGAATAATAAGTGAACTAGACCGACAGATCAGAGAGGTTTTGGCAAAAAACAATGCCAGTAATTAATACCATTTGGAAAATCTTTACAGAGACTCCAGACCTGAATATTAATTTCATTGTAAAACCCTCGAAAGAAGGGAAAATGAATATTTTAAAACCAATTTTCAATTTTTTATAAGCAAAGTTTTGTATGTTACTGTACAGTATTTATTTGACTTTATTTACTTTATGCTACCTCTCCCACTCTGGTTTTATTTGTAATTGCATTTTATATACTCATTTTAAATGACTTTTCAGTGTTTCTCATAATTTATAATTTCCTGGCTAACTTTCCCAGCAGCTTTTCACGAGATTTGTCCTTAGAGAAATGACTGCAGTAATTTCCAGTTGTATAATTTTTCACATTGAGCTGAAAGAATATATGTTGCACTTTAAAAATGCTGCATCCTATTCATTTGAATATGGCTATCTTGAAAGTTGAGGCCAACTGTAAATAATTTATTTTACTTTAGACAGCCTGTGTTTTTAACTTGTAATATTGGACAAGTTTGAAAACAGAGAGCAAGATCAATGCAGAGAAGCGCTAGGCTCTATTGAATGACAACCTAGGCATTTATTTAAATAAAGTTCATATAGAATAAACTTGTTTCCACACCCATCGAATTTCCAAATTTTCACTGTGCTCCTAACTTTTAGGAAGATGCAAGTCACAGTTTAAAAAGATGCTTGTCTGCCCACTCATGCCCCAGATTGTATTTTGATTTCTTGAAAACCCAAACCCTCTGTAATGTAACAGACACAAAGGCTTCTGCTGAGAAAGAAGAGGGAGAAACAACTATTTTTTGCTCCCCCTAATTTTGATCAGTTGGATGTTAAAGTACACGAGATGCAGTTACTGGGGTTCGCTTGGAGTGCCCTCCCCTGCGAACTTCTGAGAATTCCTGCACAGCTCGGCTCCCTAGCCTGCCTTGGCCCTTAGGGCATCACTTTCCACCTCCTTTTCCAGAGTCTGTTAGCCGATTCACAGATTATGCGAGTCTTAAAATAGAAGTAGTTTGCAATTTCTGATTCCCAGATATAATACATTTAAGTAGATTTTAGGAAATATATAGTGTTTACCGAGTACTTCCCTAAAAGCAGAATAGGCTGGAAACATGAACATTTTCTGTTTTCAAGAAGGTGTATTTTTGGGGGGAAAGCAAAGCCCCAGCACGCATTCTATGTTTTGTTTTGTTTCCTTCATAACAAAGTATTAATCTTCTAAAAAACACCCCAGCAGTACAATGACAGAGACCGAAATGACTGAATGAGAGACTGACGACTCTGACTCCCAGCAGGAATGTGAACCGTTCGTTATGGTTAGACATTTCTCTCGCTGATTCTCCGGCCACACGCACGGAAGCAAGCATTTCTGTTGCAGGAGGGCGCTGGTGAAACCCAGCCCCTGGGCCTTCGGGGGCTTGGTGTGCGGCGCGTGACTGTCCTCCGACACTAGAGGGGGCCTCAGATTTAGAGAAACGAAAAGGACTTTTTTCTCCTCCGGTGTGTGGCTCACGTTGCCCTCTGTAAAGCCAGCTTCTGGCTCTGTAGCTTCAGCAATAAAAACCAGAATCCTGCGGACACGGAGTGCCCCAGCAGTCTCTTACTTCTGCTCCCCCACAGAGCAGGCCCGTGATCGGCACCTCCTGTCACCCTGTGGGCTGGGTTTTTAGGGGTGTACGTTGCCCATGCTTTCATAGGTCTGGCCATGGGGAACATCTGAAATTGCGCCACCTTTTGCAGTCTTTCAGCAACAGCCAATTCGTGCATAAGAGTCATTTCATGACCCTCCAGGGTCGGAAAGCTGAGTGTCAGCACAGTAGGTGAAGGAAGGGGGGTGGCCGCTGAGGGAGGTGGCTTCCTCATTACCGCACCGAATGGCAGACCTCTCATCGTGTATTTCTATGTGAAACAAAATTCCTCTCCAAGATGTCTGGGGTTCCTTGACACAAAGGAAGCCCAGTTTCCACGTCTGAGTCTGGCGCCTGCTGCGTGGGAAGGGGGCAGCAGAGCTGTGCCTGGTCTGGGCCAAGTCAGGGCTGGGCAGGTTCTAGAGACCTGGAGAGCTCTTTTACCATTGCAGCCCGGTGATTTCAACCAGATCTGGGTTCCTGTTTGCAGATGGGGGAGTCTGAGTATGACTTAAGGACAGATTGGGGCACCACAGAAACATCTGGGGGAGAGAACAATCTGGTTGGACCACCTACTGCTCTGTCCACTGCTTCCCAGTATGAATGTCAGGTATCGGTTCACAAAACATACCTCCTGTTCTTCCGGTCCGAAGACCAGTTCTCTGCCAGCTCCAAGCAGAATTTTACAGTCTGGCCTCCCACTGCCATTGTGTCCACATTCATGGAATAGCTGACTTGATTGCTTTTATCGATATAATTCACAACAATAAAAGCCACCTTTTCAAAGGATACAGTTCAGGGGGTTTTAGTGTATTCTAGTATATTTAGTATATTCTCATCCTACAGATGTCCTACAGCCATCACCACTATGTAATTCTAAAGCACTTTCATCATGCTCAAAGGAAACTCTGTAGGGATGAGCAGGTCACTCCCCATTCTCCCCTCTGCCCAGCCTGGCGACCGCTAACCTACTTTCTGTCACCGTGGCTTTGGCGATTCTGGACATTTCATATAAATGAAATCCCAGACTCTCTATTTAAAACCAGAAATAAAAGAAAACCTGAAGTAATTTTCTATAAGCAGCAGTTCCTATGTTCTACAACGTTTTATCACATGTTGAATGAAGGGATGCGGAGATGGCGGAAGGCCACACTGAGGGTGTAATGTGTCAAGTTACACGTAAGAACATAGCTCGACTCTGACTATCCATTCCCGACCAAGGCAGCGATGAGCATGAACAGCGAGAGTTGAAAAATGTTCTGCTGTACTACCTCCGAGCATTCCCATGCTGCTGGCAGTGATGACCGGTACGAGCGTCAGGCCCCGGAACCTTCCCTGCATCGCAGGCCATCCCCATGTTCTGCCAAGGTCGGCAATAATGAGAAACATGGGTGACCACAGAGCCAGGTCAGGGAGGACAGAGAATAGGTTTAGCTCCCTTTCTGCCACGTGCCAGGACTGAAATAGTGCCTGCCACATGCAGGCACTCAGTAGTTGGTGGATTCATAAGGAAACAAGAACAGCTCATGTATGGTGTCTCGGTCCAAAGACTTAAAAAATTAACTATGATGGAGATGCTAGGAAAACAGGCTCTCTTGACCTTACCACCCAGGTCCTACTGAAGTTGAAGCTGCCTTTGTTGCACTGTCCTGCCTTTAAAAATGGTGCTTTGGGGTACCTGGGTGCTGCAGTCATTAAGCATCTGCCCTGGGTTCAGGTCATGATCCCAGGGTTCTGGGATTGTGCCCCACTTCGCGCTCCCTGCCCCAACCCCTGCTGTGCTCTCTCTGACAAATAAGTACTAAATAACTAAATAAATAAATATTGTCAAATGCTTGGAGATGGAATGAGTACAAATGACCAGGGGTTGGGGTGGGGAGTGAGAATGAGGGAGTGCTGAGTGGGGACAGAATTTGTTGAGGATGATGAAAAAGTTCCAGATCAGGGATAGTGGAAATGGTTGCCCAGCCCTGTGAATGTATTTAATGCCGGTGAATTAGGCACTTAAAATGGTTATACTTTTATGTACATGTGTTTTACCACAACTTAAAAAAAGCTTGCTTCCTCCATGAGTTGCCTGTCAAAACTTTCTGGAAGATCCTATCTTCTCATTCCCTGACAGTAGGAACAGATCCATCACTTCATTAGATGCTTGTTGGACGACCTTTGTTAACAAAACCCAGAGTTACTGAAAATTAGTGGCTACTTTTTCATTCCTGACTTCTAGAGGTGAGTTGCAGGATCCTTGAAACTTGCTCTAACACACCCGTGCTTTATAAAATTAAGGTCTCGTTGGTGGACAACAACAAAAACCCAGACGGACGAAATCCACGACCAGCGCTGTGTCATTGAGCAGATAGTCCAGACCGTGGACATAAAGCGGATAGAGAATTTTCCACAGTGGGTTTCAAGTTGCCGAAAGTAGGCTTCGTAGTCTTACTGTCAGTTGGTGGTCCTACCAAGTGATGAAGTGATTTGTGTGGGAGCGCTGGATAGTCTGCCTGAATAATTGTTCATATGGTACGATGTGAAAATGTAAACTCATCCTTGATACTTGTGTTTTGGCAACTGTAACAGGCTCTGGAGCCCAGACTTTCCCACATTCCCTTTTCTGCTTCCTGCTCTGGAGCAGTGCTTACCCTTTCTTCTTCCTCTCTTCTCCCCTCGGCTTCCGTGACTCAGGGAAATCAAGATGTAACCCCTCTCTCGGTGTACGTGGGATATTTAGACAGCATAGCGTAAGCACCTGCATTTTTCACATAAACCCAAAGACCCAGAGTGTTCACAGATTCTATTATATAACCTTGATTTGGCATCAAGGTCAAATCCACTCTTGTTAGGAATATAACTGTAGAAAGGCTGCTATATACTTAAATCTCATTTTATTTGCTTCTCTGGGGGTTGTCTTCATGTTTTCATTAGAAATGTTTTTACAGATGGAGGCTCTTCAGACATAAAGTTGCTGAAGTGGAGACTCAGAAGTTTAGCTTTCAAATTAAAGGGCGGTGGAAATCTGTTTAGAAAGATTAATTTATAGATAAATAATTTACTGACTGATACGCTCATGTGCAAGGATCCCCAGAGGCTTTTAAAGATGTAGTCATTATATGCTTAAGGTTTCTAAGAATGTTAAACCTGTCATTCATAACAGGAGAGAACTAAAATAAGGCCCATTTATAATTTCTTCTTGGAAACATTTCAGCCACAAATTCATAGACAAATATTTTTTCTTTTCCAAATAACCCATCTAATAGTTGGACAGCACAATCCTTTTCTTGAGTAACATGTTAACTAGTCGAAAGCACGCAGATGCATTGGATGAATGCTGAGTTGTCCTGAATATTTTATATTAAAACTTGGCTGGAGAAAAAGAAGTATTACTGCAAAATCTTACTTGGACATTATTGTAAGTTTTAGCGAATGCCAACCCAATACCAAGAAAGTCTGTGCCTGGTAGGTTTGCAGTATTTTAAGCAAATGCTCCCCTTAGTGAATAGAGCAAACAGGATTAAGGCATCCAAGAACTGGTTCCCCTGCTAGGGCTTCTTTCTGTAACCTGAAAAGGCAACGTTGGGTCGCTAACATTTCCATCTGTTTGCCTGACGGAAATTCTGGGTTACCAGGCAAGACTGGTACTGTCCTCCTTGAGTTCAGGTCAGATTTTGTGAAAAATCTGACGCCCCGAAGAAAGTACGGCAAATCCAGAACTTGGGGCGTAACTACTGAGCACCTGTCTTCATGGTGTTTAGGTTGGACGAGCCAATGTGTAGCGTCTTCACCTTACTGTGGCCTCGAGGAAGGAAATTTCAGTCCTGACTTAGCTCCATTGTCGGCAGATGAGCTTAATGGTCTTGTCTTGGTCTCTGACAGATGTTTATTTAGGGAACCAGCTGAAATCTGTAAAATTTACACGAAGAAAATAAAGGTACCAAATAGGAAATCGTTTCATAAATAGTTTTCAGAAGTAATTTA